CCCCAAGACATGTTATTCCTCTGCAAATCCCTTTTTTGGTCGAATGGTGAACTGTTAGTCCTAGGTTGTCGTTGGTTGAATCTTAAGGTATTAAAATTATTATTCCCTGAATTTCTGGGACCGCTGAATTGGTAGGCAAATTGGGCCCGAATGTTATTAGATTGCAATTCCTGTACCTTTGCTAAGGCATTCGGTAAATCTGGGGGATTCAATGAAAATAGGATTTCAGCAATGCCGCCGTTTAGGCCAGTGACAAAAATGCGTAAGGCATTGTCTCTAATTTTTTTATTTGATTCTTTGGTGATCTCACTGTCCTTTCCGTGAGTCATTATTGTCTTATTTATTAACAAGGTCATTTTCTTGTTAACCTCGTTATAGAAATCTATAATTGAAAGGTTCCCTTGTCGGAGAACGCTTAATTCCTGTTCTATTATGTAAATAGGTCTCTTGTCACTGTAAACAAAGTCAAGCCGTGAAAGTATGGCATCAAAATTTAGAACTGTCCCGTGGTTGGTCAGTGCGTCATGTGCTGGTCCTGTTATTTTGTTTCTCAAAATTGTTAATGCAATATAATATTGCTTACTTCCTTTCTTATATAACTTCACTGCAGTTTCTGCAGCTTCCCTCCATCCTACATATTGGTTTAATCCACCATTAAAAATTGGTAGGGATTCTATTACCTTCAATGTGGTGTCGTCTCTTATTGTCTCGTCTATTGTTTCTGCCTGATAATCCGATACCTGATCGGATTTAGTTTCTATTTGTTGTTTTAAATTTACAATTTGCTCTTGTACTTGTGAAATTTGAAGTGCTATCAATTGTTTGACCAGATCTGCTGTGAGATCGGTCCTTGCTTGAGAGTTAATCATTTTTAGTTTTTCAAAATCTAAAGTTAGCTGATCCACTTTTAATTTTTCTTATATGTTAGTTTTTATAATCTTATATATCCTAATTGAACTTATATATTTATTAATACAACTCTTGCTCACGAAATATCCGGTAGGGGTCGTCCTTCTTAGTTTGGCAGATCTTCGAACGGGTCTTCCTTCTTAAATTTCTTTGCTCAGCTGGGTCTTCTGGGGGTCTTCCTTCTTTGGCTTCGCTAATCGTTTCACTTTCTTTGTATTTTGGTTTTGTCGGTTTTGTTGGTTTTGTTTTTTAAAAACTTTGGGTTTCTTTGGTTTTTTTTGTATTTACGAATTGCCTTGATTAGCTTTTTGTTTTATTTGTATTTTGCGTTGTATTTGTATTTGTATTTGTATTTGTATTTGTATTTGTATTTGTTTTTGCACACCCTAAGCTCCGGTTTGTTTCCTTTTTATCTCACTTTTTTTTATCTATATCACACAGTCACTCCGCGTTTTTAATTTTGAAGGATTTATTCCATTAATTAATTGTCCTTCGGGTTTCGGCACGACGCAACACTTTTATCATTCGGTGTTTTTTATACAACGTCGCCCCACGTTGGGCGCCAATTAAACAATAGCGGTAGCGGATTGTGTTTTTAAAAAGTTTTTATTTTACTTCGAACTTCACTGATATAGATTTAAGTAGAGGGTCACAAAGGAATTCCGGGCAAGGGATTGCGCGATCTTAATATTGAGCTAGACTTTGCGGTGTCGCTGCTGGATCAAGACTGATTTGAACTTTCTGATCTTTGCATCGTTGATCCCTTTCGGGAATCGTTTTTCTATAAACATTTCAATTGATTTCGCCATCCCGAGTATTGGATTTCGTCATCCAAAGAGAGAACTGTAAAAGGCCTAAAGTGCAGGATCTGCAGAAAGCCGGGAGTGAGATTGTTTATGAGAAGCCGGGTGTGGGCAAACATTGGTTTTCCATTTAGGCGAGTGTCAAAGATTGGGGTTGCGGCGGGGGCGCTTGAGATTGTACATCTTAGAAATCAATTAGGCGGAGGCCCAAGATTGAAATTGTTTTCGTTTTGGAAAGCCAAAGATTGTTTACAACTCGTATAAGAGCTCAATGGAATTGGGTACGTTAACTTGTACGGCCATTGTCATACACGCACACACACACCCACACCCACACATTGAGGTGTGTGCGTATTCACGTTTTTTTGTTTTTGGTGTGTGCGTCGTTTCTATTTGTATACGTCTGGGGGAGCTCTGGGGGCGTATGAGCAATATATTTATGTTTATGGCCGAGTTTCCAGTGTGCGTCTGTCCGCGAAGATGTCACGATTCTTTTTTGGGCAGAGATGAGGACTTGGCAAGAAAATGTGCCTCAGAGATGGAGTGAAACGAATAGACAGAAATTGGCAAAATGTTTTGATTAAACATAATATAATAATAAATTAATTTACATTCGCCTCGTCAAATTTCATTTGGTAATTCCATCAACATTACAGCCTGAAACCATCAAAAGATTTGATTTTTTAATTAACTTTCTTTGTCTCACAACTTTCGCAGACATTTTAAAGCCATTTGTCACTATCCAAAGGCCAGATGAATTATTCAATCGAATCAATTAGAAATGCCTATTAAAACTGGTCAAGATTCGGTGTCGTCATTCCCTGCAAAATAAAAACAAAACCAGTTTGCTTTAGTCATTTAGCTGACAACTTAAATCCGTATTTGTCATTCGAATAAAAAGAAAACATTTCGTTTGGTTTTTGTTTTTTTTTTTAAGTTTTATTTATGTAGTTTTTTATTTTAATCATTGTTTAAATCTACAAATACATTTACAGCGGAGGGCGAAAGAACAAAAAATTAAAAATGTTACTCATTGTATTTGTTGTTACATGCAAATTGTTACTTTTGCGTGTTGGTTGACAAATTACTTGTTGTTTTCGAGTTGTTTTACTTTTGTTTGCTGTTGCTTTTACCATCAAACGTTTACATAATTTCTGCATTTGTTTATAAATATTTCTTGTTGTCCATATTATGCATAAATTTATTTTATTCGGTTTTTTTCCCCTTTTGTTTGTTTTGTTTTGTTCGTTCTGCTTCGTTTTTTAGTTTAGTTTCGCTTTCACATCAGCATCCATCGATCAATGTTATTTTTTACTCAATATAATTTGTTAACAACTAATAATAATAATTTTGTTTAGTTTTTCATTTTTATTTCATAACTAACATGCCACATATATATCGCTATCTTCAATGCTAATGATCATGTTCACTAAGTTAGAAAACCAGACAAGTATTGAACAAAAATATCAGCGAATCAAATGTTCGAGTGTACTCTCGAATGTCCATGAATGACGTGACCGACCGACCGACCGATCGATTCACTTTTTGAATGTATCTTTCGGATGGGCTTTTCACGAATTTCAATTAGCCAGCGGCCATATTGTTTGCCCTTTTCTCTGATAACGTCAATCCAACGGGCTTTTGTGTTCCCAGAATTCCGACTACCAATTTGCTGGCCAACAATCTGACCGCTCAACCGTTCGTCAGTCTCGTCACTCAATCAGTGTGGTGTATGTGTGTGTGTGGTGTATGTGAGGCGGGTGTGTGGGGGGTGTGAGAAGCGATAAAAACAATCAAAGAAAACATAAACACAATACTGCCTTGGGCTTGCCCCATTTTGGGGCGCTGTGCCGTGTAAAACTTACAAACATTTATTTAGTGGGTGTTGTTTCACTTATTTCGGTTTTTTTTCGTTTTTTTTGTTGTTGTTCATTTTGTTGGATTTAGGTATCGGTATCGATATCGGGGGGGGGGGACCTAACCCCTCTGTATCTCTGTATTTGTTTTGGGCTTAAATGCACACAAAGCATAATATTGCATGTCAATTGGTTTAAGGGTTTATTTATAAACATTTAGTTGGTTTAGTTTTTAACAAATTCTCCCGCCAATGCGGGTCTTAATGGGCCTCTCGATCTCGATCTCAATTGGAGTTCGTACCCTATTGGGATCGCTAGATCGGTCAGCCGCCGCTGGGAGTTGGTTGGATTCGTTATCGATTCAATTTTTTCTTCACTTTGTTCTTTTTTTTTTTTGGTGTATTGTATAGCTCCATTTATATAATCAAATTTTTCCATATAATATATGTGTGTGTATATATATAAACAATTATATTCCTTGTGTCGCTTCACACTGCTCTTCGGTCTTCGCTCTGCGCTCTCTCTCTCGCTATCTGCCTTGCTCTCGGCGTTTTGCCATCCGTTTATATATATTTCGTTTTGACCGTTTCTTGTTCTTCCGTTCGTCCGAGCTTAGCTGTGGGCTCTACACTTCACACACAAGTTTGGAAATTAGTTTTCTGCTTCTGTTTCGATTTTCGATTTCTCATTTGGGTTTTCCCGTTTCCCTCTTCACGGCTTATTATGTAACTACGCTAAGGGGGGTTTTCATTGTTTTCTTTACTTTTCTTTTCTTTTCCTTTGTTTTTCATTCATTTCTTTTATTTGTATTACTTCGTTTTATAATTTTTCTAAACTTCTTATATACTTTGTCTCGTCATGCGTTGTGTTATAGTTTGAGTGTGTATGTGTGTGTGTGTGTGTGGGCATGGGTGTGGGTGTGGGTGTGGGTGTTCTTGGATGTGTCTGTTGTGGTTTCAGGATTTGCTTTTGTTGCATGTTTCTTATGTGGCATAGAACGGGGCACACATCGGGCTGTGGTTGTATCGATAAGCTTTTATTTAAATATTCGGTTTATCCCTTTTCGTTACGTTAATTATTTTACTAAAAACATTTCTCGTTTGGTTTGCTAATTATTGGGCTTTCTTGCGGATCTTCTGCACAATTCTGCGTTTTCGATTCGATTCGGTTTTGTTTTCATTTTATACTTTATTTAAATCTTATTTTTAGCTTTAATTTATAATTTAAAGTTACTTAAACGTTTAAAATAATTATCGCTTGCATTTTTGTTTCTCTTTGTTTACTTTAAATAATTAAATTAAAAAAATAAAATATATATTGTAATATGTTCTTGCTGCTGCAGCTATCTGGAGCTGTTGTTGTTGTGGCCGCTGCTGTTGCAGTTGCAATTGCAGTTGTTGTTGTTGTTTTTGTTGCTGCTGCTGCTGCTGTTGCTGTGGCGGTTCCTGTTGCTGTTGCTCTGGCTGTTGCTGTGGTTGTGTGGCTTTTGTGGTACATAAACATTACTATTTGTTGCTCTTCATGGTAGTGTGAGGGCATGTGTGTGTTTGTATTTTTGTTGTAGGTGTGGGGTGTGGGTGTAGGTGTGGGCGTACGTGTTGGGGCGTGTGTGTGTGTTTAATAGTATGTCTCCTGCTCCAACCAGCCTCCGGGGTTGCGACGCAAGTAGAAGCGACGAGTCTCGTCATAGATGAAGATGGCCAGCGCAAATGGAATGGCCGGGAACCACCAGACGAGTCTGTGAGTATAGAGAATTCGGAGTTGCAGTAAAATTGAAGGAAACGAATGGGGTGGGGCTATGTGGGGATACTCACTTCAGGGGATACATGCGCAGACCCTTCTCCATGCCGGGGCAGTACGAGAGGAACGCGGCCAGCACGGTTTCAAAAACGAGACCAAAGTTCAAAGCCCAGTTGCGCATGCCCTGATGGAAGATGGAGTTACGGCGCGTCTTACAGATGATCAGATCAGCCCATTGCACAACCACAATCGAGATAAAGAAGGCCGTGTGGCAGGTGTACTCCAAGGTCTTGCGGTCGCGGTAGGTCTACATGGGGAAATATCCAATATCATAAGATCTAGCAATCGGCAATAAAAGATATGGTGTCCGGTAGCTTACCCATTCCTGTCCGTAGGAGTCAGTTAGATCGTTGACGGCCTTCGAGTCCCACATCTTACGAATGCCAAACAGTTTCCTGGGCAAGAAGCCGTTCTCAGCCATGATGACAAAGTACACAAAGAATCCGGCAGCGGCCTGGATCATACCGATCTGTCCATAGGCCATCGAAATCAACCTAAACGAGTCAAGGGCGTGTGTGGGGGAAGAGACAACAGAATCGTATTAGACTACGCTCAAAGGTATGCTATCTTTTCTTTGTGTAGGGTTTGTTTTATTCTCGGGACGCAAGACATTTCTGGTTACTGTTTGGCTAGCGGTAAAGTATCGGGGCACGGGCATCCGGCATCGGACAGCGACAAGAGCATGCAGGGCTTGGCCAGGGTTTTTAGTTTTTTGGTTTTTTGGATTCAATAAAACATTTAGTTACAAAAAGAAGAAACATTTACATAAGTACATACACACAGAGAGAGAAAAAAAACGAAAGAATGAACAAAACCCTGTCCAGGAGCCGCAGCAGGGCTCTCGAGCTGTCCGTATTTGCTGTTAGCCTGGTGTTATCGCCACCACTTTACCTTGAAGCTCTTTTTATTATGGGCTGGTTAAGCAAATGAATGTTTATCGTTTTGGGCGGTTTTTTTTTAGGTGTGTTAGACTTTACTTTATACAGCGTGGATTGTGTCTGAGCGAATCTCATTTGAATTTGTGGTTTCTTTTATCTCAAGAGCGCGCAAAAGCAAATTGTTCTAAGTATATAATTATATGCTTGGCAAAAAGCGTGCGAGAGCGCAGAATCGTTTTTAATTTTCGTTTCTTTTGGTTGGGTTTTTAGTTTTCATTGGATGTGAATGTGAAAAAGCATAGTACCATTTTTTGTTAATTCTATGTTACAACGTGCAGATACTACTATATACAGGTTACAGGTTACAGAGTACAGAGTACAGGATACAGGATACGGGATGTATGTAGGCAGGCAGAACGAACATTGAAGCGTGCATTGAGAGTCTATAACTAGGATAAGCTAGGATAATGCATCTATCGGTTTTTACAGCAATCGTTTACTTACGTTTAAGGAAGATTCGATATTAATAACATAACGTAAAAACATTAACTCAAGGTTTAACTTACACTTAACATAAAACTTAGGAGGAACACGCAAGAGCTTGCCACAACAAAATTATACAGAAAATCTCCGTTGCCTTTTGGTTGTCTGGATTTTTACCTACGTACGAGATATTTTTTCAGGACTAACTCCCTCACACATTGAGACTTACTGCGACTTGCTTGGCACTTGGAACCAGATTTCGATATGAGATTGGATACGAGTATGTATAGATATTGTATATAGTTTTGGTATATAACGAGTAGGAGTACGAGTACGAGTATGTGGTGTATCTAGAACACAACGGAAGCGTTTTTGGTTTTGATTTTGGTTTTGGTTTTCGTTTGGTTATTGGCTCGAACAAACTCATCTACAAGTAACGCACTAACTGGACTAAAAGTAACAGCAGAAGCTTCGTTTTGTAGGTCTGTTTTTCTATGGTATATATTGTAAGATATAGGTCGGTGGTTTGTTTGCTTGTGATCGTTTTGTACTGTTTATGCAGGCGAGCGTTGGGAGCGAGCGAGCGTTTTTCTTTAAACAAACTTCGCCTAAGTCTCTAGAAGCAATTGTTGGGTGTTTTTCTTTGCAGACACAAAGTACGAGTATTTCTACGTTATTTGTGATACTATTTTGCTCCTAATCACCGTTGAACACAGACAATTATCATGTGTCGGGGGGTTTTTGAAGATAGTATTGTGCTGGGAACACACAACAAAGGATTCGAATCGAGTGTGAGGGGGGATACGTTAAAGGAACACATACATACATATATCAAGGTTCAATTTTGAATCAAACAAAAGTAGAGGAATATACGAGTATGTATTTAGAATTTGAAGGAAGGAACACAATAGATAATTTGATGATTTTTTGTTTTGTTTTATCATAATATTAGAGAAAGAGAATTTCATTCCACATTGAGAGATCCAGAACAGAAACGGAAATCATAAGGAGATATATATTTCGATCACACAGGAAACACGAAAACATAAAAACCATAGAGAGAACAGTTAATTGTTTTTGGAATTTTTGTCTCTGTGTGTGTGTGTGTGTTTTGGAATTGGAACAGGAAACAGGAAACAAAGAAAAACGCAGGAACATCAACGCATCAGCAAACGAACAAACAGTCACTCATGAAATTTGGAATTTGGCATTCGATTAAGTAATTTATTGATTGATTGATTGATTGATCGATCGATTGATTGATTGATTGTTTGTTGGCCAAAGGGACGAGGCAAGAAACGCGACGACCACAACACATCAAACAAATTTCAAATCGTTTAAAGTAAAAAGATGGTTGCATGTTTGTTCATTTTCTAGTAGTTTCTTAACTAATCAACTAAAAGATTGGATGTTTAACACTTGGATATTGTTTGGTTTTTGTTTTTTTTGATTAAAACTTAGCGTTAAGTTTGTCCTGACCTGCGGTTGACCAAGTTGTCGCGATACGGATCTCTCGGCTGACGCTTCATAATATCGCTCTCGGCTTGCTCGTAAGCGAGTGAAATGGCCGGAATCTTGCGTTATATGGCAATAATGGTTATATCGATATTTTCAGTTTTTTGTGCGAGTTGCAAGTTGCAGGTTTGTTAGTTGTTAGTTGTTTTGTTTGGATAATCAAAAGAAAGACATAACAAGAGTCGAAAGAATGTGGGGGGAAATACAAAAGGAAAATCCGATTAAAGTTTACGAATAATTAGTATATATAAGTAGGTATATTCATATAAAGGATTTATATAAATATGTTAGCTTGCGGGCGAATAGTAAATACTTGTTCTTTAAAAGCTAAGTAATATTCACTAAGATAGTTCGTTAGAGATAGACAGGTGGAGAGAGCGGGGAGAGACAGTGTCAAGTTGTACCATCGCAGGGGATCGGATCGGATCGGTTTCGGATCTGTAGAGTGGCTTTGTGGTCTTTGTGGTGTTTTTGTTTTTGTTTTTTTTGTTTTTGTCATTTTGTTTTTAGCTCCTGCGTACTTACGAAGCTAAAACTAGGACTAGGGGCAGAAAGTTCAGTTAGCACCCAAGTAACAGTAAAAACGGGGTTCGTTAATTATAAAACAGGTACGAGTAGAATGGTAGATATAGGGGTGTATAAAATGGCTTATAGCTTAACTTGCGCTAAATTGTTATAAAAGTAGTATTTTTTAAGATTAGCAAACAATTTGAGCCTTGTTTAGATTTAATTTGAATTGGATTCGAGTTCGATTTCTGTGTGGGTGAGTGTAATGTCTTTGAACTACAACTCAAAAGAACAGGATTCAATGATTGAGACTGATGGAGGAGATACTGTATTCATAGATAGCTAGATAGAGACATAGACATAGGGGCAAACTCTGGCTGATTGGTTGACTGATAGTATGTGGTACTTGATGAGTCGACAGTAGGGGGAGAAGGAGTCCAAGTCAATGGAGAGACGTGAATGATGTGATGTCTGTCTACCGATAATAATATTTGTAGTTTAGCATAAGTAGAAACGTACATAAGAATGTTATTAAAATACAGAGTCTCTAAGATAATATTAGGCCTGCTCTAGCATTGAGATTATTTACTATGTAAATGGTACAGATGGTAGAGAATCCGAGACGGAGATGGTGACAATCTATCTATGGTATACGTTTATGGCGCAGAGAATTGGCCTTGTGCAGGCTTCCCTGGGGAACAAAGTCACTTACCTTCGAACCGCAAAACTAAAAGACTTCAAATAAAATATTGAAATAAACGTAAATCGAAGGATACAAATCAAATGTTACACTTGAATATACTGGTACGATTAGGCTGTTATCAAAAAACAAAGAAATCAAAGGGCATACGAGAGACGTTTGGCACCGATGTCATATATCGAAGCGTCATAATATCAAAATATAGAGAAATAGAGACAAAAGAGTGTGATAAAGATAGAGAGTTGACCAAAAGAAAGCGGTAGAGCGGAGAGAGGCAAAACGAGAGGCTCCACGAAAGGAGCATTCATTCGTATCGTAGTGAATATGTTCTAGAACCTATGTAGATAGTTCGGGGTGCAAAAATTTCGCTTTTCTAATATCCAAAAAGTCGATTTTCCTTGTGTCCAAAAATTTGTTATGAAGTTTACAAAAAATCAATCGATATTACTTGGCTATATTGTGGCTATAGATTATACGATTATCAGCATATAAAAATTGGATATATTGCATTATTGCAAATACAAAAAGAAATAATCGCGTAAAAAACGTAGAGTAAAAAACAAACAAAAATACAATTTGAGAAAAAGATTCGGGCTAGAAAAATGGCATACAAGACAATCGTTGGACCTAGGGGCCAAAGAGACTTGAGAATGTGCTGAGGGAATAGCATATAAAAGATGTCTGCGAGTCCCCAAAGCAATCCGTACTGAAGAACAGATGGCTTCGACTCAGATACAAGATGATATTTAAACATAAGGAAAAAATTACTAAACGCTTTGAAGAATATAAACTTGTTCAACTATTTGAACGGAACTATCAGAGACTAGAGAAACGAATAGTAAGGAAAATATAAGGGAACATTGAACAGATATTAAAACGGAAGCTACAAAATGAGCGCGTAAATCAAATAACATTGAAACATAAATCACGGAAAAAACACTTTGGAGAACTTTCCAAATAATCAACATTCAACCAAGGAGAGAGAAATGATTACTTAAGCTATTTTGAAAGTATTTCGAGTTAGTATATAGAGCGTTATAGAGAAAGAGATATAGCGAGATATATTGTACGAGTATATAGAGAGAAATAGATTAAAATGATTTGAATTATCTTGACTTTTTTTTGGTAGAAGAGGAAGCGTACTTTGAGATATTGGCTTGCTTTAAGAGATCTTAGGATCATAAAAGAATTATTCAATTTGCTTTTCATTTCAGTGACATAAAGGGGGATAGGAATTTTCTTGGTGGTTGTTGCAGAAGAGGCAAATCCTTGACTTGCATTCGGATTTTGTGTCTTTTACTTTGATACGAAAATCGATTCTTGCTGTTTCTTGATTTTTGCATGGTTTTTGGTTGGTTGTTCTTGTTGTACGATTTGTTGTATTTGATTTGATTTGATTTGGTTTGATTTGTTGAGCAGCAGAAGGATAAACGTTACCTTTCGTTGACCAGCTTATCGCAAAATGGATTCCTGGGCTGGCGTTTCATAATATCGGATTCAGCCGTCTCATAGGCTAGGGAAATGGCTGGCACCTAAATGTGCGAACGATCGTAGTGGGGTTGTTCGATTGTTGGGTTGTTGGGTGTAGTTTTTTGGTAGTTGGTGGTGGTACGAGTAGTAGTGGAAAAAAATAAATGTAAATTAAATACGATAAATTATGGCAACTTAAACTCTTTCTCAATGTTTCATCATCAACTGCTTTTCCTCTCTGAAATATCCCGGAGTCAAAAATCAATTGCTGCTAGAAAAGTTCTGTGGTGGGGCTGAGGAAAGGACTACCTCTGGTAAGTAGTTCTGTTGGAGATATCTTACAAGCTATGTATATAGTATTTAGTATAAGGACTTAAGATTTAACTTAAAATGCTCGGAGACTTAAGAGAGGGGAATGCGTGGTCTTGAGATCAAAATAAAAGTAAAAATTAAATGTAAATCCATTTCGGGTGGAGTGTGGACTATGTGCTACGATTTGTGTGCAATTTTGATATTTACTTTTTGCCAAAAATAATAAAAAAAAAACTAAAAAAAAAAAAAAAACGTTAAATTCCATAACAAATGCCAATCAATTTGTCTAATGGTGGGGAGCTGTATTTCTGTTACACAAACAAAACAATAATGGAGAACTGTGTGAACGGATTTATCGGTGAGAGATATTAAACGAAATACGAATACGACGCACACCAATTAACATTTAGAGCGTTTTTAGAGTACGAGTATAGGCAGATGGATTTCGGCTGAGTGTTGTTGGATTGGTACTGGAACTTTACATGTACGAAATAGTTTATATATGTATATGTGGGTATATACGAGTATGCTGTATATATAGAACTTCTTGAAGGAAACTTAGAATTGAACGATGGACTGGATTGGTCTGGATTGGTCTGGAAATGTACAGAGCAGTGGGGAGCGGAGCAGAATGTACGAATGCATGAATGTACGACGAGTATGTATAGAGAGAGAGAGAGAGAGGGGGAGAGAGAGAGGGGGAGAGAGAGATGCGGGGAATTTCGATGCTTTCGAGTATATGCTACACAGGATGAACGAACGAACGAACGTTTTGGTATGCGGATGGGTTGTTGGGGATGGAGATGGATAGTAAACGATAATCTTAAAAGTAAAGTAGGTATTAGTAAACCATAAACCATAAAACGTGTCAACTGCTTTGTTAGTTAGTGGTTTTTGCGCTGCTTTTTTTTCGTTAAGGCCAAAGGACTTATGATAGTTACAATCCAGCCACAGTTGTATTTGTGAGACATACATATGCTATAGTTATATGGTTATTCTCTTGCTGTTTGTTATTAAGTATTCGCTGTTGTCTTTTCTTTTCTTTTCTTTTAGTCAAGGAGATTAGTTTTTAGTATGGTGTGTTTGTGTGTGTGTGTGTGTGGGTGAGTGTGTGTAGGCGTGTGTGTGTATGTAGTGTGGGGTAGAAATTGACTTGATTGGCACCTTGAGTTCACTAATTTATCGTTGAAGGGGTCACGGGGCGGACGCTTCATAATGTCGGCTTCGGCATGTTCGTAGGCCAATGAAATGGCTGGCACCTAAGTATTGGCAGATATTATGGCAGGTTGGTAACATTAGCAACGGTTTTACATAATTTTCAAAAAGGTTCGTCTTTCAAGCTCTTCCAAATTTTGAATGAAAGAGATACATTGCATATACATAGATACATAGCCTGTGGACATTGAGCAAATATTAAAAGAGCACTTAAACTACTTCATAGCCTAGCGTTTGGCACTGGCACTGGCACTGGCACGGGCACGGGCTTCGGGTGTGGGTGCTACGCGCTGCGAGGATTATGTACCTCTCATTGACCAGATTGTCAACGCCCGGATTGCGTGGACGACGCTTCATGATGTCCGCTTCGGGTCCCTCGTAGGCCAGCGATATGGCAGGTATCTGCTCGCCAGTGCGGATCGGATCGGATCGGATCGTGGGTTAAACAAGACACTAGTTCTTAACAGTTACAGGGGATATACGGATTGGTTGGATGGATGGGTACAACTTTTACATTTCAATTGCTCGAACTGACTTAATCGCAAAGTTAAAATTAACTTTAGTTAGACTTGAACTGGGGGAGGGAGGATCTTTGAAGGCTCGATGGTGCGATCCCAGGTGGAAGAACTTACCATGTCAGTGCCCAGATCGATGCAGAGAATGGTGACGGTACCCAGTGGCAGTGGTATGTCGCAGAGGATGAAGGCCAGGAAGGGTGAGATTTCGGGAATGTTGGAGGTCAGGGTGTAGGCAATCGATTTCTTCAAGTTATCAAAGATCAAACGACCCTCCTCAACGCCAGTCACAATGGAGGCAAAGTTGTCGTCCAGCAGAATCATGTCAGCAGCCTGAGAAACCATTCATGATCAGTACATTAGATCTATATATTTATTTATGCATGTATGTAAATCCTCACCTGTTTGGATACATCAGAGCCAGCAATACCCATGGCCACACCAATATCAGCCTTCTTCAGAGCCGGGGAATCGTTCACACCATCACCAGTCACGGCCACAATGGCGCCCATGCGCTGGCAGCCCTCGACAATGATCAGCTTCTGCTGGGGCGAGGTACGGGCAAACACGATCTCGGTGTGGTAGCGCAGAATCTCATCCAATTGGTCGCTGGACACATCACGCAGCTCGGCGCCATGGACAACGGCGGCCTTGGCCTCGCGGGGGTTCACCTCGGAGATGGGGATGTTCAGACGCTGGGCAATATCCTCGACGGTCTCGTTGCCCTCGGAGATGATGCCGACGGACTTGGCAATGGCCTTGGCAGTGATCGGATGATCGCCAGTGACCATGATGACCTTGATACCAGCGGAGCGGCACTTGGCCACGGCATCGGGTACAGCGGCACGTGGGGGATCAATCATGGACATTAGGCCAACGAAACGCAGATTGTCAATGGGGAAGTTGACGTCGTCGGTGTTGAACTTGAAGCCGGAGGGATACTTATCGGATGGCAGCATGAAATCGCAGAAACCAAGCACACGCTCGCCCAGTCCTCCGAGCTCCATGTAGGCATTGTTGAACGCCTCCTTCATCTCCTCGTCCAGCACCTTCTCCTTGCCGTTGATGAAGATCGTTGAGCAACGCTCCAGGATCCGTTCGGGGGCACCCTTCATCACGAGCAGGTAACGGGGATCGCTGGGATCCTCGTTATCGTGAATGGACACCTGGTACTTGTTGGTCGAGTTGAATGGCAGCTCGGCAATCTTCTTGTTGCGCTTTCGGATATTCATGACATCGCCCAGGGCCAGCTCCATGCACTTGAGCAGAGCAGCCTCTGAGGCATCGCCGCTAACCTCCTTCTTGAGGATGGGCACACCGTCCTGACCTCCCTTGAACTCGGCCCGATTACAGAGAGTGGCAATGCGAGAGAGCGCCTTGAATCCAGGGCTGGTTCTATCGTATTGAACACCCGACTGATCTTCAGTGGTATCGGCCTCAATGATCTGATTGTCGAACCACATATGGGCGACCGTCATCCGGTTCTGGGTGAGGGTTCCGGTCTTATCGGAGCAAATGGTCGATGTGGAGCCCAGGGTTTCGACGGCCTCCAAGTTCTTCACCAGGCAATTCTTCGATGCCATACGCTTGGCGGTGAGGGTCAGGCAGACAGTGACGGTGGCCAGCAGGCCTTCAGGTACGTTGGCCACAATAATACCGATCAAAAAGATGACAGCGTCCAGCCAGTGGTAGCCCAAAATGAAGGCAATCACAAAGAAGGTGACGCCCAGGAACACAGCAACGCCGGTGATCAAATGAATGAAATGGTGGATTTCCTTGGCAATGGGTGTCTCGCCGGTGTCCAGGCCAGAGGCCAGGCCAGCAATGCGACCCATGACGGTGTGATCGCCACAGCTGATGACCACACCCTTGGCAGTGCCCTCGACGGCGTTGGTTGAGAAGAAGGCCAGATTTTTGGTCTCCAGCGGATTCTCGTGGGTGAACTCGGCATTACGCGACTGCGGCTCCGACTCGCCGGTCAGCGAGGAGTTGTCCACCTTGAAGGTTCGCGCCTCAATGATGCGAATGTCGGCGGGGATGCGGTCACCGAACTTTACCTCGACCACATCGCCCAGCACGAGATCCTCGGCGCGCAGCGTCAGTTTCTCGCCCTCACGGATGACAGTGGCAAATTGGGGCACCATGTTCTTGAACGATTCCATGATCTTAGAACTTTTCGATTCCTAAAAGGGTTCGGAAAACGTTAAGTTTTGAGCGGAATGGTAGGAGGAGCAGGAGAGCCGCCCACTGCCGTTGGGCACCGAGTCTTACCTGATAGTATGAGAAAATGCCCGTCACAATGACGACAGCGGAAAGTACAATACCCAGATACAAATTATCATCGGCCGGCTCCTCGCTGGTGCTGGCCTGGATAGAGTAGGCCACAAAGCAGAGAATAGCACCGATCCACAGCAGCATGGCGAAGCCACCGAAAAGATTCTTACAGAATTTTACCCATTCGGGCGTCTGCTTGGGTGGCGTAAGCGCATTGGGACCATCACGCTCCAGATTCTCCTTGGCTTTGGCATGACTTAGACCCTATATCGATGGAATAGCAAGTAATAAGGATCGATCGCAGCAGGTGTATTTATGGGAAGGACTTACATTTTCGGGATGTGTCTGAAAGCGCTGATACATCTCCTCAGGAGAGATCTTATGATGGTCGATGTCCAACTCCTGTTTGAGATCATCTAAATTCTCCTTCTTAGCTGCTTTGGTCGGCATCTTGCGTTTTGACTAAGGATACGCCAAAGGAAATATGTTATTACAGGGAAACTCTACTGGGATTTGTAGCAGCGAAAGACCCAGAAAAGCCACAACACAAAATTCGATTTACTTCATGCCCATAGAAGGGTTTTACGGCGGTAGGGAGAGAGTGTTCTATGTATATTGTTAGACCGTTAGACCAGGGAAAGTTAGAGACAAGAAGGGGATTAGCAGCCACCTACTTACCCAAAAGAATTGTCAATTAATATACATAAGTATTAACCTGCAGTGTGTATTGCATTGTGTTTTTGTCTGAGGATGATTGCTATATCGTATGGGGCGACGAGGAGCGTGAGAATATTCAGAATAGCTCTAGTAATCTGGGGCATGCGAAATGCTCCCTCCCGGCTATGCATTTGAATGCCAAGAGCACGTAAAACGAATTGAATTGCAGTAAAAAAACAAACAAACAAATGACATACGTTCCAAACACAAAAGAAATGAAAGCTGAATGAAAATGTAGCTTTTCCTAAAATATATATTGCAGTACAATTTACTATGCACTGACCTCGGAAGCCATTCGAATTAGCAGAATAAAAAAAAACAAATGAAATAAAATAAAATCAAATAGACTTTCAATATATATTATATGTACAATATACGTGTATATATAGACGGTAGGAGCAGCTGTCTAGTGTCTGGCATTCTATCTTTAACATTTTGTCTATAAGTATTATTTTGCTCTATTGGGGAGCACGCGCAATGCTCTTTGGGCTCTCTGACGTCATTGTTGAGGCTGCCTGCAGAAATGGCCAAAACAATAAAGAGTTCTAGAGTACAGACAATATTTCCGGGCCAGAAAGATATATCTGAGATCTCTTCGGTGTTGCCAATGGCTCGAAATAATGGAATCGAATCGTATCGAATTGGAAAATATGAAATTGCCATCATTATGACATTATTATTGGCCATGGTAATACACATATAGCATACAGAGAATACAGACAGACATGGGGGTATTTATAGTTCTGTAAGCATTTCGATGATTTCTTTTAAATGTCATGCGCTCGCGGTGGCCCGCGGTGGCTCTTAGGCCGTAAATGCCATTGGAATCATGCCCAAATATAAATGAATAATAAATAATAAATGCATTTATAGACGGACTGGTTTGGGGGTAAATCAATGGGAACGGGTGGAAAGGTTAGTATCCTAAAGAATCGTAAGTATAATGAAAAGTATAGAAAGTGAAAAAGGGGGGAAAAAAACATTTATAAATATGTGGATGATAGAGAGAGAGAGAGAGAGAGAGAGAGTGCGGAGTGAACGAATGCGAGTGTGAGTGTGAAAGAAAATTCGATTTACCTTGTAGTGACCATCGGCTGTGCGATTGTCGTCATCGGTCGCAATAACCGTGGCGACTCGATAAGAGTCCGCTCTCCCATGCTACGCGCATCGAAGGTTTTTTTTTTCGAGTGGTGCGGTGGGTCAATTGGTTGTTGGGTTTTGGTTTGGGTGGTGTTGGTTTTTTGATTGATGATGTCGATGATGGGCGAACAAACAAACGTATATATAAACGGGGATAAAAAATACAAATCAAAAACAGGAACAGGAACAAAACGAAAAGCGAGCATAAACAAATGCACAGACATAGGTACAATACAGTATAAAATACTTATAAAAATAACTATAACAAATATGTACGTAATTAATGTGTAGGTACATTCGAATGATTACAAATTAACCTTATACTAATCTTTAGGGTGGGTGTTTTTACAGACTGTCTATGGGGATGTGGTTTGTGTGGTTTTCGCGTGGCCTAGCAACACGCGATTTGTTGTTGAATGATTCAGCGCAAAAACTCATTCACTCGGGGTCAGGCCAAAGGACAATGAATCACGTGTTATACATAGCTTTCTCCGTGGCGCCACGCGGGACGGCATCCCAGTCAATGGGCCGCCAAAATTCGATCAGTGGCAAGTGCGCGGCCTTATCTGCAGTGCGTGACTCACTTTGCAAAAGCAAACAAAATGCGGGTAAAGAGCGGACCCGTCAGCACAAAAAAAACAAATCAAAAACAACACAAAAAAGAGATATGCAATATAAATATAAGTACAGGGAGCAGGGGAGAGAGACCGAGAGAGCGCGCACGGCAGTGGAATCAAACAGAAAATCAAATTAATTAAAAATACAAATGTATCTACATATATGTATGTGCGGGGCACATGTGTGTATCTCTCTGTGCAAACACAGAGGGAGGGAGAACGCAAACCTGTCGCGCTCACATGGACGCGACGCCGTCGCCGATGACGCTCAACGGCCAATGGTCGACGAACGGACGGACTTCTGGGCAGACAACTTTCGGGTAGAAACATTCGAAAATCGTACGCTTTGTTTGGCATTTCGTGATTTATATTTTTTTGTTTTTTTTAGGGGTTTTCGTACGCATGAAATAAATCTAGAACTTTGTGTGAGGGTTACTCTCCTTTTGGCTTACGCACATTTTGACACACAAATTTGTCGTACAACTATCGATCTATCTGATCTGCCGCCTTCACGGCGTAGGCAGGCTTTCTCGCTGGTTATCTCCCGTAGAGCGGTGCTCGCTCGCTCGCCCTTTTTTTTTTGTTTCACACAAACGCTAGACAATCTGAGGCGTTGATCATTTTGATAAGGAGAGAGCAAAGAGTTTGCAAAAATTAGTTAGACTGTGGCTTAAAGTAACTTACGGGGCTTACGGGCTAAAACTGTTTGGTACGTGGATCAAATCAGTGCGAAACAATTGTTAACGTAGTGACAGGAGAAGGGTGAGTTCTCGTTCTGCTCTCCCACAATGGCGTTAATTTTGGTTTTCCTATACAAATTAATTCAACTTAATCGCGCTTGTTCACGGTTCAATTGATCCCGAACAATTGATTCACAAAATTGCTAACAAAACGAGGCATGTGAACCTGTACCGTAGTCGAGCAATTAGACTGGCGTCCAGGATGCGATATATAGATACAGATCGAGGCGATATATGTATGTACATACATATAAATCAGAATGCGACAATGGCAAAGGCTTACATAAGCGAGCGAACGGCAAACGTCGAGCAGGCAGCGTACATTGCCAATTAGGCGAATAGATACAAATGTATCTGTGGCTGCGCTCCAGCTATTCATTCAGTCATTTCCCATTCCCCATTCCCCATGCCCCCCCACCATTTTGCTGAACAGTTTGCGCACATTTTGCCGCAAACCGTTTGGCATTTGAACTTGAATATCAATTTACAACAAACAGACATCGCATCGGGCCCCGAGTGCTAGACTGCGCCTAGAGGAAGAGACCGAGAAATATAGAGACAGAATTGACACGCTAATTGTTCAATCAATGCAAAAGTATCTCTGAGGAACGTGTAAACTCGCGGGCGTAACCGAAAATGAACAAATTAAGCCGCACACAAAGCGGTGGGGTGGTGTGGGGTGGGGACTCCTCCCCTACAACACATCAATTGTCCGAACACTCTCAGAACACACACACACACAGGGTGCATACGGTTACGGTCGGAGGTGAGTGTAAGATTCGGTTTGAACCAGTTTTGAAACCAGTATGAAGCGGCGTAACTCTCAATCTCACACACGCACACACACACACACACTAGCATATGTGGAGAGAGAGAGAGAGAGATGTCGAACAGGTGTAATGGGAGGGGAGAGCATTTTGTGTTCCATCTCATCCAACACAATATTAACTTATGAATATGCATTGTCGCTCGCTGGAGTGTGGAGCCCCCGAAATACCCCCACTGCAGGGCCCGAAACCAGTTTTCGTGCTTGATAACAGATCGTGGCGAGACACGTTCCTTCTCTCCCTTAGTATCTTTGGGTTGCATTTACATGGGAACTCAACTTGTTTTTGAGGAGCCAGAACCAGAACCAGAACCGAGAGACTCGCTAATGATATCTCCAGCTTTAAACATTATTAACGATTTGATGCTAATTGTTTGCTTATTATTTGCCTGTTTTTGCATGCTCCGTTTACCCAGCCGCAAACTGGATTTCCCTCATTTTATGGTCGAGTTCGTTATCAGAAGTACCTCTGCTGCTGATGCTGCTGCTGCTGGTGGCTGCAGCTGAGAACAGACAAGAGCAGAACTTCCCCAAGGGCAGAAGGCAGAAGTACTCGAGAAGTCAGTCGAGTTATGCAATTTACTTAGCAGAGACTGTGACTTTCCTCTACACTTAATGGATAAGCTAAAAAATTATAGTATTACAAAATGTATATATAAAAATAAAATAAGATTATTGCAATTATTCATGCTTGGGCAGCATTCCGAGAAAATTATAAGTGATGAAAGTAAATAAAATACGTAAATAAGATGAAATACTGTTTTCAGAGCTTGTCACTGCCCATTACCCACCTGACCACTCATAGTGGGTTTGCTGTTGCGGTTTTTCTTCGTAAAAACTTATTAACAGAGAACAGAGAGGCGGAGAGACGGAGACGGGTTTCAAACAAACAACGAAAAACGACAACGATACAAAGTCAAACTTAACAAATGGAACAAATAACAATTATACAAACTAAAAACAATTAAGATCAACTGCAATGAGAAAAAGCAAAAAGAAAATATGGAGAAATGAAAAGTGGTATAATGATTTACGCTTATGCAACAATCGACAGGAACGACCCTGCTGGGACACGCAGCCACTGGAAGCGCCGAGTGGAGCCGAGCGAGCAGCAGCAGAGCCACTGGAAATATGGAGTCATGGGAAAGTCATGCCAGTGGCAGCGGCACTGGAAGGTGGTGGAAGTGTGGAAATGCAGGCGGGCTGGAAACTGCAGCCAACAGCAGGATACGAAATAACGGCACATGGCAAAGCACACAGTCAGGAGAGAGCGAGAGAGAGAGAGATAGAGAGGGAGAGGCCAGCGAGAGCGAGAGACTAAGGGACATCGAATTCGAATTTCGAAAATGAGCGAGAGCTTAACTGTAAACAGCGCTGCGAGAGCAGAGAAGCCGTTAGAAGCGCGAGCGAGGGAAATGTGAAAAAGAAAAATGCTCATACTCGTACTCGTACTTTTTCCAAGATTTGTCTCCCCTCTGCTATACACGAAGACTCTCGATTTTCCCTCTCTGCTCATTTTTTGTTGTTCGTTTTTGTGCTACGTTTTGCAATCGTGTTTTTGCTTCTGATGGCATCGCAGAATTATGAAATATCCAACAGCGGGGAGTCCTCGTCAGTCCCCCTGATTTCTGCCCACCCCTCCCTGTCGGTACCTTGTCCAACCCAGCTAAAGCTATCGCTATCCCCTCTTTATGGATGGTCTTCGCTTATGTGGGGTGGCCAGGAAATTACTGCTATTCCAAAATGTAAATCGCGTCAATTGAATCTAAACGATTTCATTGCCACAAAAAAAGTACGTCAGTGGCACAATGGGAACGAACGGACAGACGGAAAACGGACAGACGGACAGGACAGGACGGACATGCGTTCCGTTGCTCTGCCATGAACGCAAAATTGAATGCCAAATCGAAATGTACGAGACACAAAAAAACAGATTTCTGCAGACGCAGAAGTCTTTTTGGGGAGGAAACGTAGCAAACCCACACACACACACACACACACACGCTATCCAATATTAATGGCACACTCACACACAGACACTCTCGGACTTTTGTCAAATCTGCGAAAAATGCATTTTCACTTCTTTCATTTTCCCCATTTCATTATAGAAAATCTTTCTGTCTGTCCGTTATGGGGGATCTCTCTTTCTCTCTCTCGAGGGGCCCTCTCCGAGTGCGGGTCGGAAGCGAGTCGGGGGTCGCGGGTCGGTTAGAAATGTCTATATCCATTACGGCCAGGCATGAAGTTTTGGAAAATCGATTCGGTACAAGGACGTTGTCGCTTACTCTGACGGTGGTCGCTGCTGCAGTTGTAAAAAACATTAAAAAGATACCAGGCAAAAGGGGGGGCCTGGTGTCTTGGGGTTTTCAATTTTTCTACCTTTTACACACGTCGGGGGCTATTACACAATTTCTGCGCTTCTGCGTTGCCGTACTCGAAGGCGGATTCTGTTGGGGGGTTTTCGCAGAAAAACTACCCCGTTAGCAGTATTGGAACTTGTTTTGCACTTGATACGTTTCTCTTTTCGATTTCAACAATAAATAATCACACGCGTTGCTATTTATTTTTTATCGGACTCAGGAACGGGACTCGTTAAGCCGCAGGGCAGCAGCTTAAGAGCTTGCCTTTTGCTTTTGCTTATCCTGATTTTCCACTGTCCGTGTGCTTCCTCTTGCTCGACCCAATCGATGCACAGTTATTGTGTAAGCAGCACACCAGCGCAACCAACGCAGGCGGCGGCGGGGCGGGAGCGGAGAAGAGCTGTACTAGTACTAGCACACTGGCTGTACCACCCGACAAAGACGAGAACTCAGAGTACTGCTACAGTTAGACCGACCTTCCCAGTTCGGTAACGACGTTCGACTGTAAATTTTCAGCGTGCCGCGAGTGGTTAAGCTTTTCGTTCGTAGAACATTCTATCGTCGACGCTGCGGCGTCGTCGTCGTCAACGTCGGAAGCTTTCGCCCGTCAGATGTGTAGCGAGCACTCTCTCATTGTCTCACCCACTCTCTCGCTTTCCTTTGCGTTCCCGCGAGCACTCTCTTCCACGAGGCCCACCTAATCTGCTCCACGCTCACAGCGTGCGAAAAAGTGCACACACAGTGTGTAGCGGCATTAGTGGAGCTTTCGAACTCTCAGTCGGCAAGCCCGAATATATGGCAGTGTGACAAGTGAGGCAGGGCAGAGCGTCAGACAGCCCACAGTGGGACGAGAACTTCGAAACTGGAGCAGCGCTGAGCTGAGCCCTTATCGAGAGAGAGAGAGAGAGAGAGAGGGACAGCTCTTAGGGGTTGTGCGCAGAAAGACCCGTAGAACTGGCACTGCAGGGGAATGTGTGTCAGAGATCTGCCTCGTACATAAATTGTATAACGAAAACAAAGCGTCTGATAAAAGGGCGAACCAACTTTGGCATTTTTTCGGTATTACGACTATCTGCTCTGCCAAAAACACAGCCGCCTGCCTGCCTGTCCGACCGCCTATTTTAATCGCTTATCGAGTCCTTGAATGACGTCACTTTAAGCTCGGAAAGATGCGAGTGATGTCAATTATTCACATCCCAAGTCGGTTAGACAAGGCACAGCCGTCAGAGCCCTATCAAAGTCACAAGAAACCCAAACCTCCAGCTAGCAGTAAATCAACAATGTAACTATCGGCAGCCTCGCTTTTGTAGGACAACCAGTTACGAATGAATGTATATAGTATCTATTCGTATTGTACGGATATATGCATGTGAGTTTGTAAGTATCTCGAGTTTCAACAGAAAATTTGAGCTCGGTCACAAGGGAGGGGCGGCAAAACGACATCGGCAGAGCTTAAGGACACTTTTAATATCCATTCGGAGAAGTCCTCGAGTCTATTTCGGGGTGCTTGTAAGTCAGGTTTAATTACATGGAGCACTCACTGGCTAACACAAACACACACACACACACACACACACACACACAAGAGCATTCTTTACAAATGTGGTCGGTCAGTGAGTAACACGAAACGCCAACGGAAAATCAATAGAAAAACATCGGGCGAGCAAAAGCAGCGGAAAAGTTTGTGTCTCTGGCATTTGGAGCAGTCACTGGCTAAGGCTGGGGGGGTTGGCAGGGATAGGGTGAGGCTACTACGCGTACTACCCCTCAATGGATCAATAGCAGTGGAAAAACCAGTTTCCAGATTGAAATTGTGCACGTTCCATCTACTAATCTAATCGCATCTAATATCCCGACAAACTCAGACTTTATTTGTGGGTCATCAACTTTGCTTAGCCTCCCTGCATGTCAGCCAATTTTTTCCAAAAACCCACATAAACTAAACGGAGAGCGACCCGCTCTCTGCTCTAATATAAAATTATGTAACGACGCGGCACAAAAAACCACTTGGCAACCAGACCATAAGCTGAAAGTGGACAAAATGGGAAGTAAAATCAGGACATAGAGGGATTCGATATATCCCCCTCTCGTATATGTACTTTTGAGAGTAGGATCCGCGATTTACTGCTTATGCAAAGGGAATGCAGACGTCATAGGAGCCAGCGTCAGAGTGAATTGTTCCACCTGACAAATGGTCAAATGACAAGAACTGCCTCTACTATCGGGCATTAACAGACATTCGATGTGTGTCACTTTAACGTATCCAGACGGCGCCCTATATCGCAGTCGTTCGTCATCGATCACTCCACATCTGGGGCTACCGTTGGAACAGCTCAATTTGAGGAGTTTCAATGCCGGACACGCCTCCGGCACGTGTCGTGTCGCACCCTTACGAGTATACGTATAATGCCGCATATTTGAAAAATCGATATGCCATCAAAAGGCTTTATCTCTCCCTTTCTATCTATCTGTGTGAAAGCAATTATGACTTTTAGTCAAAATCAATACGCAGATCCACTCCATGATGATTCTAAAAATTTGAGTGGTGTCAAAGTCAACAAAAGGTAAAGGCGGAGCCCCTTATGTGCTTTTATTGAACGAGATGAATCTAAACAGGTTTTCCACCCGCGGGTTTTTTTTTGGGTGCATTTGCATTTGGAAATGGCTGGATGTGGCTGGGGTGCTATATCGTGCACTTCCCTTTGGCAACAAGCAGCTAAAACTTTGGCCAACACGCTAATTGCCAATTGTCGAGTGCAGTACTGCAAAAAGTATGAGGAGGAGGAGTAGCAATGATGCTCTTTTGTGTTGCATAATAGCGGCGCTCATGACCTGGCCCTGGGCAAAATCGGAGACTGCACTCCGGGCAGCAGCATAATCACGAGTGTGCTCATAAAGCTGACAGCGGGACGGTCTGTTGTACTTGAGCATTGATTAAAATGTGTGGACCCTCGTCCTCGGCGTAAACCCCTGTGGCTTTTGGGCTATGAAGAGAAGTCTCATCATATTGCTCATACGACAGACACTTGTCACGATTTCATGAGGCTCTTTAGTTTCCTTTGGGAATTATTGCTCTTTGGGCTGAGCTTTCCCAAAGTAAGATCATAATGCTGGCAATCGTATAAACTCAGTATGAGTGCGAGTCCCGGTTCTAGTTAGTCTATGATGCCATTCGAGTGGACGGACATGCAATAATTTGCTCGTCTGACGCTTGTCGTCGCTCCTCGTAGGCGTTTTATGACAATAGATTTACGAGCATACATAGCTCGCCTAATTTACGCCCATTCCCCATTGTAAAGAAGCGACCATCCAGCCATCCATCCCGTAGTTAAAAAAAAGATGAAAAAAAACCTTAGACGACAACGGCAACGACAACGACGAAGGAAAGTCACTGGCATCTCTCGGGGCACACACAGCATTGAATGAAATGCCCCGGAAAAAACCAATTGTTATTCCACGTTTAATTTAGTAGAGCAGTGGAAAGCATAAGCCTCACGGACGGATACTCGTAGAACAGCAGCTGACTGGGCTGGACTGGACGGGGCTGGGCTGCATCATTGTGGGCGGTCAGGCAGGTCTTGGTTTCATCTCATCTCATGGCAGCGCATCTCTCGGATACAGATACTCGTACAGAAACAGTGACAGAGACAGAGACGGAGATGGGCAGCGTTTCGCTTTGAGTTTCAGTTGGGTAATGCGACCCGCGCGAGACCGAAAATGGAGCAATAAATTCTAATCAAAATTAAAATATACATAATAATAAAGTAAGCAAAAGCCGAGTCTACGTATATTCTATAGACCATTCAGCGCGTGTGTGCACTTGTCATTGCCCAGTAACTGGATGGCACGGACGTCTGAAATGGCTGAAATGGGCAGGGGGAAGGTGTGGGCCCAATATGTTGGCCAAATTTGTTGTCTCGCGGTGGGGGATGGGATATTGCCAGAGTCAGAGTGATTTGCCTTATTATGTTGATAAAATGGATTCACAAGTTTTTGGAGTGTATTCCGGAGTGCCTTGAAATTGTTTGGCCCAGAATTGCCAGATCATAATCATATAGTCCACTGATAACACGATACACACCTTAATTATGTTGCTAGAACGGTAGTTACTAATGGATTACTGGTTTTCCCTGTTTTTGTCACTGCAATTCACACACCGATGTGCAAGATTTGTAAGACTTTGATCTTTATGTGTATCTAAAGTAACAGCGTCGATATATGCACATACATGTTTGTTAGAAATATTTTACTAATGCTTATTACAAATATACATCATATTTTCTTATCCTCATACAAGAGCATATTGTGGAATATTTGGGTATTATTATTATTATCAGATAAGATTTTTATATACTGCCAATAAATTTAAATGACTTTAGAGAACGTGTGTTACCACTACGAAGAGTTTTCGACCGTTTTATAGATACTGATCTGATCCGGTCTATGATCATCGTTGCAATGGTTCAAACAGTTCCCTTAGGGGAATATCCGACGTTTAGAACTGTGAGCAGTATAAGGAATGTGTCCGTTTGCTTATGGGACATTCAACATGATTCGCATTATTCGACAAATGTGCTTTAGTGGAAAAGCGACAGTAGATCCTTAAAGGGACAACCGCTTAAGGATAAAGTACTTGTTACACTTGTTCTTGCCACAAAGATGGACAGAAGACAATGTAACATATATTTATCTGTATTTATTAATTGAAAAACCTATATTGTCTTGGTTTTTCACCTTTTATTTCAGCCTTCTACTGGGGTGTTGACTGACTGACTGACACATGGCTGACACGCGCCAGTGCTCAATGAAACGCTTTGCACTAAATCAGCCTCAATTGAGAACGTGCTGGCTAACCTACTTAAGCGGCAGCAGCAGCAGCAGCAGCAGTGTCCAACAGTCGACGTCGATTTGTGGCACGTTGGCACGTCTAATTGGAATACAGTGAGAACACACGATACAAGGGAGCCACAGAGCTCTGAGCCTTGAGTCGAAAATAGCTCCCAAGATCCCTTCGATTCGCGTTCAAGGTTGCCTGGCGACGTAAGCAGCTCCTGATAGCATGCTATCTATTGGCTATCTGCTGACGCACTTCTCCCGATCATGACCAGAGTACTACAGTGGCAAATGCGCAAACCAGTTCGTCTCAAGTGCTTCGAACTGCGAAAGCAATTACACTGTCGATAGTTATTTATTTAGCCGGCTTATTTGTCATTAGAGTGAAGTGCGATAATTTTGATTTTATTTTCATTTTCATTTTGGTTTGGTTTATTTTTGGGAGCACCTGCCTCAGAGTGCGATTGCCAAAATGCTGGGCAAACATTGGCCATTGGCATTGGGCGGGCTGCTTAATTTGTTTGCATTTGCATTCAGCCAAAGGCCTGGAAGTGCCAAGTGTGAGTGTGAAATCCAATGGCTGTATGGCAGCGACTGTGGCTGTGGCTGTGGCAGCGTCAGCAATGTGTATTAAATTGTATTTA